CTCTGACGATGGGCTCTTGTAAGAGCTCGAAAGCTCAGGAAAAAATAAATTTCGTTCCAGTGATCGACCATCTATCTCCTTTACCAATAAATATACTGTTCCACGGATCGCGTCTTTACATCAGGGCTCTGGGACTGACATATTCGCCTCCATTAGTTAGAAATAAAATAAACCAAGAGAAAGACAAATATTTCCTTCATGGAAGATAGGCAGGGAAACTTTGAATGGACATTCTATTGGTAGAATTATACCGATAAAGGTGAAGCGGAAGTAGTCAACAGAAATGCATATTGTCTGGCTTACCCTGGGTGCAGATGAAGGCATTCTTCTGCCGATAGCTGTCTACCCAATTTGCGTGAATGTAAATAAGGCCCGGCTTTTCAGTCTTGCCAGCTTTGCTTGAAGTACTGGATTGAGGAGGAGTGGGGGCTTTCAGAAGAACGCGAGTTTTTTCCAGACAGGATACGTCTACATACCGGTTTTTGCTGGAGTTGTGAGATCGACTATGCAAACGTAGAAATGAAGCAGGGTAAGGAAAAAAATACCATCACTGCTGTCTTCGTAAGCACAACATCCAGTAGGTACACAACTCGACATTCATGTTGGCACCCTGCGCCTTTCACTCATCAACCAAAGCGGCAACACAGTCTAGTGAATGCGGTCATCGTCTAGTACTACCGACGAAGTTAGTACAGGTAAAAACTACAGGTATCAAGGGTTGAAGGTGGATTCTCTTCAAGGGTTAAGACAACTGACCCGCAGGTGAGCCGAAAACTGCAGAAATTTGTTATTTTTTTATATAAGAAGGACGTGTACGGCCGCCTGAAGAGGAATGGAAACACTACACCCATGTAAAACAGGTGGTTTTGCGGTAATTTTCAGTACAGGTTAATATTTTCGGCGTCTTAACCGTAATCTGAATCCCAGCCCTGCCCTAGATGTAAACCCTTCAGTTAAAACGAACCCAAACCTTCACCTTTAACCTCGACTCTGACGCTAAACCTAACACGAAACTTAACCCTAACTCTCTCCTTAATCCTAAACTCAATTGACCCAGAATTTGGCGTTACAGATATATGGTAGGCGGTTTCTAGTTCCGTGCCCTGTTTCGGCGGCCATATAAGTCAACCTTACTATTTCCGACTGCGTTTCATGGAAAATATTATGTCAAGTTTGTCTTCCGTCACCGGCGAATGAAGGGACATTTACATCGGATAATATAGTAGATATCTTCAAAGTCTTTAAAAAATCGAGAGACTCGTAAATAAAAAAATAATAATAATTAATCTGATATTTCAAATCTTTTACATCCTAAATCTGATTATGGTTGTTGGCTTTGCTAATTTTCATGATCCGATAGTTATTTTATAATGATAAAAATTATAAATACGCACAGTAGACCAGGACGCTTATTAATATTTTAAGTGAGGGAGTTCCTGCTGTAAACAGGTAGCACGTATTTCATTAGGAGGATCATTCTGATAAACTTCAACTGGACGTGAAAATTGCCAGAGTTCGAAGGCCCCACCAACGCTGTCGCTTACCGGAAGGCTGTGCAGGGGTCCTTCGGCTTGATACGGCATACCATAGCATACTCGTCACTTAGTCCGGTGAGACCCTTACTGGCAACATGTTTGACTAGGCCCTGAGGGTCTAGCCATTGTGAAGTAAAGTCGACATCTGGTACATCTTCATTTCCCTCGTCCTCGTCCTCCTCCTCTTCCTGCTGTCCTGAAGTAGATTCGTTTTCCTCCTCTTCTTCATCCGAGTTGCTAACGCTCGTTTTTCGCTCAGTGACAGGCGTCTGGGTACAGTAGGACAGAAGGCAGGATTTCTCAGACTTGGACATTCTACTAGCATCAACAGGAGATACTTCTGTTTTTACTGACAGCCTTGTACCGGGGGGTGCTTTGGAAAGAAATCCCAGCGTATTGTCCGGAGTCATTTCATCCGGGCCAGCGTGAATGGACGGGCCAGTAGGTCGATTCATTGACCAGGGCGGGACGGCAT